GGAATCGCAAGGTGAGGCGGATGAAAGTGAAACTGGATATTTTTGTGAATGATCCCTCGTCGTCTGTGACAGAGGTGGAGGCGGCCGGCGTTAAACTGTTGAGTGGTTAGAGATGTTAAGTTAGGGTTTTTCAATTTTTTTTTTCTTAATTGGGATTTGATATATAATTACTGAATGTTTTCCTAATTTGAAGCTTTTTTTATTAGATGCGAAAAGTTCGGTTCTTTATCTGTAATATAAAAGTTTAAAGCGCAAAGAAGTGATTCATATCGTTCTTGAGATGGAGCTTGGTACGAATGTTGGCTCTGTTTTGCTTTAACTAATCAATTTCTAAAAGTTTTGCTTCAAATTAATTGTTGTTTCTATTATTTTAAACACATTTTTTTCAATAGTAATTAGAAACAACAACAATCACTCATCTAAACAAATAAGGTTTTTATACAGCCCATTCAATAATTTTATTTTGCAGTTCAATGAGTAAAGAAAACAAAAAAAAAAAGAAAAAGAAAAGAAATTAAGAATATGTTTAAATATTATATTTTTGAATCACACAATTATTTTTTTATCGACAACCCCTCTTTTATTCATTCCCTCCACATATCATATCATATGATTTGCATTTCAGATTTTTTTCTTCTGTTGACAATAAATTATTACTAAATTATTTAAATCATTAATTTATATCACACAATCATTATTGATGTTTAGAAACAAATGAAAGATTATACCCTTTTGGACTCCCTGGTAAGCAAGTTCATGATTTTAATCTTGGAGTTAATACTTAAAAAATTAATTTTTTTAATATATCAAGCTCCTGTAGGGTTGTGACCAAAGCACTATTGAATGAGAAATTTGCATTCACTGTCGGAGCCAAACGGAACTGGATAAACAATTCCTTCTAGTCGTTGAAGAGCATCGAAATGGGTCTAAAATTGGTATCTGCTTCCATGGCAGCCATTGTTATGGTTAATCGAGGCCAAGAAGTGAGAGAAACTCGAAAATCATTTGTGGGTATCGAACTTGTATATGGAGTTAGATCGAGAGATATATAGTATGAAGGGATTTCGAGAGGGATAATTAATTCGGGAGAGAGTTGGCAAATCGTCGTCAATGTAGTTGTGGATCTCTATCTAGCCTTTAGATTTGAAGGAGAAAGCGCTAGAAGTCGATGTAGTAGGCTAACTCTCGCCATCCATGGCGAGAAAATTTTGTGTTTCACAAAAATTAGGAGAAATTTTCCCCCAGATCTAAGGCTTAACAGAGAAATTAAAAGTTAAAACGGTTTCTCCATATTTGAGCTCTTTGTTAGTGATTTCTCTATCTAGGTTTAGATCTAGTCTCTAGGTCTTGCTTTGAATGTTCTCTTTTAAAAAAAAATATTTTTCTTACATGCCAAGTTTCGGAAAGCTAGAGAAACGAGAAGAAAATTGAAATGGTAATTTGAAGTGGGGATTTGCAGTAAAATTGTGCGCTTCTGATGTATTCGAGGGATGAAAACGGTGAGAAAAGGTTGAGAGAATTATAAGAAAATTTTGTGGAAATTTCAAAGGTTGAAAATAAGTGTGAAATAGTCTTTTTATTGTATTTATATTAAAAAATAATATACATTAATTTTGACTTTAAAAAAATGAAGTTTGGATGTTAAATAATATTCGTTTTATTTAATTAAAATTTAATTTAAAATTTAAATATTTATATTATTAAATATTAATTTTTATATTTAAAAATTAAAAATTTATTTTTAAATTTTAAATTTTATTTTATTAAATATTAATACATAAATTTAGAAATTGATTATATCAATATTTATACTTAGTTTTTAAATTTAAATATCAATATTTAATAAGATAAATTTTAAATTTTAAATTAAATTTTGATTAAATAAAATAACATTATTTAAAAATTAAATTTTTAATTTTTTTTTTTAAATCGACATTATATTCATGTTTCCCCTTTCTATTATGTTTAACTTTTAAAATGACAATGTGACAATTTTTTTATTGAACTTGGGCCTACTAAAATGTTCATGTCATTCTTTTTGCCATTCTATCAATCCTACGTGTAAAATTCTTTTCACATGTCATCCTTGTCCCATCAAGTAACAGGGGCATGTCAACCAATTTTATCAATTTAGACTAAATTTCAAAATTTTAAAATTAAATTAAGATTTTCAAGTTTCCAGGCAAGTAAAGGGTGGAGTTGCTGTGATATTTTAAATAATTAATATTGTATTTTATTAATGTAATTATTTATTATAATCTTGTATTATATTTTTAAAAAAAAATTTGTCTTTTTTGTGTCTTAAAGTATAATCATATTTTTTTTTTATTAATTTTTCGATATCCGGTAATCTTATTAGATTTCGATTAATTTGAAATTGAAACGGGTCAGATCTCATTAGGGGAAACTCTTCCGACATTTATTTTTTCATTTATGAGATTTGAAATCGAAACCTTAATTAAGAGAAAATGAACTCCTTTCATTCGCATCAATAGGTCTTTTATGGTATAATATAATGGTTAATTAAGATAAAAAAATGTGATTTTAATAGTTAAGGGTATGACAATAATATCACCAAAATCAAGGTTTTGCATTATAATTGAGTGACTAAATTGGGGCTTAACCTTAAAAAATAATTACCATTAGTTGTTTTCATAAGTTTTGTTCCTAAATTCTTTAAAATGTTAATACAGCGATTAGTTTAAGCTCATTTATTAAACATAGAAAATTTTCTTTTAAACACTAATCTTTTTGCAAAAAAAAAAAAAATCACATAAAATGACTTATTTAAGATACATTTTAAAGTATGTTTGGTGAAACTCGTAAATACTTCAACTTTTTAATACTTTTCATATTTCATAAATTTAAA